TTCTTGTTTAAGGGTGTGGCAGAAATTTTAATGAGCGAAGGCAGCCATGCCCCCTCCCAATTATTTTCCCCTTTTAAGTACTATATATTTCTTAATATATTATATTAAAAATAATTTAACTAATAGTTTTGGCCCTCAAAATATTTTCTCAGCTGTTTTGCAAAATAGAGAGTTCTTCCAACAAGTGTAGCAATATGCAGAGGAGATTATGCAATAATCACTTAATCATTGTCTCATGATATATTGCGTAATTGACTTTTACTCATTTTCTAGAAAGAAAAAAAAATAGAATTAATGAGAAGAATTTTTCCAATCCACTTTGTTTTGCGAATTATTACAAACTTCCATGAATCTCTCAGTCCTCATTAACTACTTTTGTACATTTGGATTATGGAATGGACTAATGGAGTTTGCATTATAAAACATAGCATATAAAATTCATAATTGATTTGAAACCATAGATGGAATATCCTGTCACCTATATGAGATCAGATTCCATTAACATGGCAGAAACACATTTTGCCACGTGGGAATTACTACCACTTTACAAGTAACATTTAGAACTTCAAGTTTGCTAAGTCCCACATCGACTTATTCGATAGAGTGACGAGTCTTTATATATCTTGAACCGTGCATGAGAATAAAATCCGAGCAAAGTAACGTTTGTTTGTAACCCATGTGGGGGAATTAAAGTGGTGGTAGATGTTAGCATGGTTCAAGAACCATGAGGCAGAAAAATACCCTTAGCCCGTCTCGTCTTATATGGTATTGTGCAGTGGCTTTGAAGGGAATGCGTCTTGGATGGCTCGGGTCTCAACCCCCTGCCCCAGTCGCTAGACGTGTGGCTTGGCTTGACCTAAGTTCGTTGCCTTAACAGAGCAACGTTCCCATTTAATGAGGTAAAGGGGGTAACATCAACAAGTTGCTGTGGTACATTCGAGGGGCATATGGTGAAAAGCCACATTCGACTACCACTTTTTGCAAAAATCTTCTTCACTTGCATATTGTGTCCAAACCCTAATGTATGTATATATTAGTAGTAGAATTCTGCCTTCGCATGATCGATTGTATTTTTAAAATTTAAATAAGAATACATATTATTTTAAAGGTACAACTTTGTCTTAATTTAAAAAATAGAAATTTCTTTTTGATGAGTAAATACTGATGTCCAAAATGTGTGTAACATACAATGAGTTCCAATTTTTTTTGGGTATCATATGTCAAATGAACAAAACTTATACTTTTGTAGATTGGACACAATATGACATATAAATAACAATATATGAGATATGAAAACAAAAAATTCAAGAATTAGATTTTTAATAATCTATTTGGATTGTTGGGGAGAAGTGTGAAATTTTTACGTAAATAATATTTTTTTAAACCAAATTCTAAGCTTCAATATTTTTTTTTGTTATCAGAATTCGGTTTCTCGGGAACCGAATTCTGAGTTGTTTTAATTTTTTTTTCTGGGTTTGTGGCCCATTCTGGGCAAATGTTGGAAGTGGAACGACCCGTTCCGGAAGAGAAACAGATCGTTCTGCTTAAACACATTGTCTTTTTTTTGAAATTAAAACGGGTTAAGAACGGGTCGTTCCAGAATTAAGTTTTAACACATAAATTGACCCCTGAAACAGCCTGTTTGAAAGAATGATTTTAGTTATTTTTTTTAAGCTAGAACGAGCCGTTCTTGTTTTAGAACGGCCCGTTCCAGAATAGAAATTTAAACATTTTTTTGAATTTGGAACAGCCCGTTCCAGGAGACGTTTTTAGGAATTAAAACGTGGTTTGGAACGGGCCGTTCTAGTTTTGGAACGGCCCGTTCTGGGCAAACAGTGAATACGCTGCTTTTCCTATAAATAATATAACGACCCAGCTGGTCACTACACTCGGCACAGTACACCGGAAACACCAGACAGATAGAACAAGCATATAAATATAGGATCTAGAATATATATATATATAAAAAGTCCCAATCTGACTAGAGTTAGAGTGTACAAAATAAGATACATCATCAACTGCTACACCGAGTAGCTAAACAAAAAAAAAAAAAACAAAACATCCCAAGAGGATTCAGCTCCGACTGCCAACTACAGCCCAACTACCAGCCACCGACCTATCCCTACTCTGCTCCCATACATAGTATGATCATCGCAGTCCAAACGTCATGGAGACAACAAATGGTAAGCTAGTGTAAAGAAAATCAACATACATATTTAAATATATGAATAGAAACATCTACAGCTATCAGCACCGCTCAGCGGCTATAACAGCACCATAACAGTGGCTAACAACACCGACATAGCGACTATAACAGCACCACAATAGTGGCTAACAGCACCGACATAGCGGCTAACAACACTGACATAGCGGCTAACAACACCGACATAGCGGCTATAATAGCACCACAATAGTAGCTAACAGCACCGACATAGCGGCTAACAACACCGACATAGCGGCTATAACAGCACCACCATCGTGGCTAACAACACCGACATAACGGCTATAACATAGCATACAGCTCACAACACAGCACAACACAGCACAACAATATCATATAATACATCATTGAAAATCATCAATAACAGCCCAGCTCAACACAACATTATACATCAAATTCAACTTAGTAACAACTAGTCAGCACAGCATAAACATCAAATTCAGCTAGTTCAGCATAGAACAACCTCTTTCGGCTAATTCAGCAAGGTTTAACAGCTAATTGTACATCAAATCAACATCCTTATACGCGCCCGGTGCACCCATGGTTGCGCCCAACGTGGCACATCTAGAGGGCACCAGGGGCTAGCGCGCCCGGCGCAAGCGTGATCGCGCCCGGCGTACCTCAGCCAGAGAGCCCAAGGCTCTCTCGCGCCTAGCGCAATACCCAATTGTGGCCAGCGCATACCAGGTAGAGACTCAAGGGGTCTCATGCGCCCGACGTGGCCTAACTCGCGCCCAGTGTGGGAAAGACATTGACCTACCAAGGTCTCGCGCTCGACGCAATTCGCATTGCGCCCAACGCCCTCTTGGCAGAGACTCCCAAGGAGCCTCCGCGCCCAGTGAGTCCAAACGCGTGCCCAACGCGGCACCAAATATCCCAAAACATGCCACAACTGTCATCGCGCCCGGCGCAGATCAAGTCACGCCCAGCGAGGGCCAGCCAGAGACTCCCATTTCCAATCGCGCCCGGTGCATACATCATTGCGCCCAACGGGATTGCTCAAATGGAGTCTTCTGGTGGTCTCGCGCCCGGCACGAAGAACAGCGCCCAGCGCGAAGCTCAACAGTATTTCCCCAAGTTCAAAAATTTTAACCAAAACCTGCAAAACTCAACAGCAATCCCACATGCAAACCATTCAAGATGCCCCATTTTAAATCAACAGCTCAAAAACACTTCCTTTTTACACATGCAACCATAAAACAAGTGAGAGACCCAAAATTCATCAAAACCCCCAAAAACCCCAAAGTTCATTTTCAGCAATTCAACCAAGAATTAGTAACACCAGCCAACAATTTTGAGTTCCTAGAACTCGTTCACAACCAAGATCAGCAAGACCTAGCTTCCCTTACCTCGGTTCAACGGCTCCGAGCTTCGGGAAGAAGGGAATGATGAAGAAGAAGAAAAGCTCCACGAAGAAGAAAGAAACCCACGCCTCAGCTAGTTCTCAACACAAAGAATCAGCACCTTGAATCCACACCCAGAGAGAAAGGTCAGTCAAGAAAGGAAATGGGGAGTGAGTGAGAGTTGAGAGTGAAGAGAGCTTGGGGAAAGAAAAGGGGTAAGGGTCTCACAAATAGGCCCTCTACCCTTCATTATTTCCACACTATTTCAGCTTTCACTCCTTTATTCCTTCCGTCTACCCCTTTTGAATCACTTTCTTAGAATCACGTTCATTTCCTTTAAACCTTTCATAAAATGGCTTCTTCAATCTACGTTATTGTTCATTCTGATGGTTCCATTAACCAATGTCCGAATGAAAGAATCACTTTCTCCTCTCCATCTACAAAATTAGTTCGTATCAAGAGAGGAATTACTCTAGAAAGGCTTCAAAGAGTCATCCACACAAAGCTACATCGACAAGATTCTGAGAGGGTGGCTAGCATACATTTTCGGTACCTTATTAGACTTGGCCCAGGGGTTAGTAACTATACCTGTGTTGAGTTGACGGATGATGAAGACATTGAGGCACTTTTCAATGTTCTCGATTTTAATCAACTTCAATCAGGTATTGAATTATATGCTACATTTACTACAATTGAATCACATGCACCACAAGTTTCACCTTCACGTTCACCTTACGAAATTTATCAAAGTTACCAGAACACTAACCCATCTGGCCCTTCTTATGATATCCCCTCCAACTACGACATTGAGTCATACACACAGCTTTTAAGTGGTCCAATCATGGACCTTAATCAAATACCTTCTCAGCCATTTGAGCAAGCTAGACCTTCTGCTTCTCAACCCAATGTTGAAACCAACATTGAAGATGATGTTGTTGTTGGTCTCCCAACAGAAAATGTCTTTGATCCTTTTAGCGAGGACGAAGACGAAATTCTCTCTACACATCAATATGATGATGAAGAAACCCTCCCAGTTCCAAATAATCCACCACTAGAACCAGTAGCCATATACAACCCACCTCCACACTTTTTAGAGTTTCCCAATGAAATCCAACAAGAAACTGAGTATAGCCATTTGTTGGAGCGTGATATGGTTGTGTATCCACCTAGAACACTATTTGTTGGCCAACGCTTCCAAACAAAAGAACAAATGCAGGACGCCATAAATAGATTTCACATTGTCAACCATTGCACTTACAAGGTTAAACACTCAAGCACTAGTAGGCTTGTTATGGAATGCGTTCACCACGACTGTGCCTGGAGATGTCGTGGCATATTGCGCATCAGGGAACAACATTGGGAAATCATGATCCTTGAGGGGCCCCACACGTGTTTCCCCACTTATCTCCCAAGATCATAATAAATTGGGATCACAAATGATTGTTCAAAGCATTGGTGAAATTATTGAGGTTGATCCATCGACATCCATTTCAACCATCATAGCCCACATCAAGTCCACCATGGGTTATACAATTAGTTACAGAAAGAGATGGTTGTCCAAGCAACATGCCATTGAGAATATCTTTGGAAACAGGGAGGAGTCGTACAACAAGTTACCAGGTATGTTGCAAGCAATGCAAATGTATGTTCCAGGTTTTATTTGGAAATTAAATACGCAACCAGCTTACCAAGGTGGCATATTGGACGCGGGGAGTGTTATATTCAAAAGGTTATTTTGGACCTTTAAACCATGCATTGATGGTTTTGCCTTCTGCAAACCAATTGTACAAGTGGATGGTACCTTTTTATACGAGAGATACAAAGGTACGCTATTGATCGCAGTTGCGCAAGATGGTCGCAACAACGTAATTCCTATTGCATTTGCTGTTGTTGAAGGTGAAACTAGCGATGCATGATTTTTTTTTCTTAAGAACTTAAGGCGGTATGTAACACTGCAAGATGGGTTGTGCCTTATTTCTGATCGTCATGAAGCTATTCGAAGTGCATACTCAAGAAATGGAAGTGGCTGGACGGAAAAAAATTTCTGTCCATGTCTATTGTATTCGACATATTGCACAAAATTTCATGTGACGATTCAAAAATGCAACACTGAAGAAGGATGTTGTCAATATGGGTAATTTTATTATTACTTTTTTTAAAGAATTTGATTATTACTTTTCATTATTTAATAATTTTTGTTTTTTTGCAGCCTACGGGATGACTGAATCTAGATTCTTTTACTATTACAACATAGTAAGAGATACTAATGTTGAAGCAACTCAATGGTTAGACAACATTCCTAGGGAAAAATGGACACTGGCATGGGACAATGGACGACGTTGGGGACACATGACAACAAACCTAGCTGAGTCAATTAATTCCGTATTGAAGAAAACACGAAATTTGCTAATTTGTTCCATGGTAATGGCCACATACACTCGTTGCAACAAGTTTTTCGTTCAAAGAGGTAGGGAAGTGGATGCAATGATTAATGCTGGACATGTCTACTCGAAAATTGCAAATAAAACTATTCAAGATGCTCAGTCTAAGGCAAATACTCATAGAGTTATCACCTTTGACAGATCAAGCAGTAGATTTCTAGTGGAAGAAACGCAACATTCCAGAGAAGTTCGACCAGCTGGGAGATTTGCAGTAAGGCTTGATGAATTGTGGTGTGATTGTGGCAAGTTCTAGAAAGTTCATATCTCTTGCTCACATGTACTTGCTTCATGCTTACATGCACATCACGACTATGAAAGCTACATATCTCCTATATATACCTTACAACAAGTTGCAAAGGTATACGAAGGACAGTTTGGAGAGCTTCGACATGAAGATTATTGGCCTACTTACACTGGCCCAACTTTGTGGCCAAATCCAGAACTGAAGAGAACTTCCAAGGGTCGACCAAAGTCCACCAGGATTAGAACAAAGATGGATATTAGAGAACAACATAGTCATGTAAAAAATTGTTCTTATTATCACACTCCTGGTCACACTAGAAAGACATGTCCGAATATTAGTCATGGATGTAGTTCCCGCCACCATTGATCTTTATTTTTGTAATAAGTTGTAATAAATTTATTTAGTTATGTAATATTAAAGTTAATTACTTGGTGTTAGTGTCGGATACTACATTGTGTTTGTGTTGAAATCGTATATTGTGTTCGCTACAATGCTTATAATTATAATAGTTTATAACCTTCTTAGTGCATTAAATGTAAAAATGCATAACATTAAAATTCATATTACATTGATAAAGAGACATAGTACATTAAAATAAAAAAACAATAACATTAACATAGAGTGATTTATATACATTTTTCAATCTCCGTAATGGTGTCCAGTTCCACAACGAGGGCGACGTCTATTACGGCCTGAATTACGCCGTGAAGGTTGTTTCTCATAAGGATTTGGTTCATCATCAACCACCGGATGTTGAAATGGTGCTGAAGAACTTCCAGGTTCATTACCAAATTCTGGTCGGTTAAGAGATCGCATGTATGATTGTGCTGAAGATGGAGTTCTAAAATCTACTCCAAATAAATTTGTAAAAAAATCCTCTGAAGTTGATGCAAATGAATGTCGTATGTCAATTATGTTTTCTTCAGGAGTGACGTGGTGAGGATTTGATACATGCTGACGAGTCTCTTCATGCGATCGCATGGAAGTTGCACCACTCTCAAATGTTGTGGAAGTCCTTCGTTGTTGATGGGTCCTTGGATCTTGTAGTAGTCATGGCACAGATAGAAAATAGATGGAATTGGCCATGTACCATTCCATGTATTCTCGTGTGTGAAACAGTGGGCCTTGCATTGGATGACCTATCAATATGTGCTCACGTCTATTGTTGCATATGTCGATCCATTGAGCATGTCTTGTAACCCAATTTTCATCTTGTCTTCCCCTCATGTCAATGTTGTGCAGGTTATCCAAATTATTCGGTGGAGAAGGGACATCCTGAAAGAGACGAAATTGTAATTTCACTCTATCAGATTGGTGCCATTCAACAATTGCAAAACAAATAATGGAGGTATATGATGTCCATAGCTAAGCATCTGTATATGCTTACATGGGTATTGCTATTTGCAACACTGCATATGGAGCCCATATAAACTACAAAAAAATTAAACTTTTTTAGTTAAGATAATATGCTAAACAAAAGAAAATTAAAAAAAAATAAAACTTTGATTTTAAAGAGTTACCTGATCATTCTGAATATGATCAAACCTTGATCTATATCCAACAACATCATTATGAGGTACATTTTGAAAGTTTAATACTCTGCCCCCGCTCCATTTACAAACTAGAGGGAATGTTGATGGTATCCTGGAAATAGGCGCAATATATGGCATGTGATGCCATGCCCAAGACTGTAACAAAGATGGACAACCACCCATTGTTTTGCTGCTAACATTTGTAGCTCTACACGTTTCCCTATATAGCATAGCCAAACAAGCCGATCCCCAACTATATCGTCTTGTTATTCTAAGATTTATTAATAAAGATAAATACATAAGATGTACCTTATTGCCTGTTTTGTCAGGCATCAAAACACCTCCTATTAAACCTAATATATATGCTCTACAATGTGCATGAAGTTGTTCTTGAGATGGTTCCTCTGGTAATTCTAACATATTTTCTCTTAACCACTTTAACTTAATCATAGAGCCAATTAGTGACTCACCTTTAACTGGCACGATTCCGAGATACGTGGAGCACATTTCCTCCTAGTCATATAATGTTGGGCCAATGACTGGTAAACCATCAACTCTTAGGCCAAGTTGAAGTGCAACATCCTCTAGTGTTATGGTGCACTCTCCAGTTGGAAATGGAAGGTATGAGTCTCAGGTCTCCATCTTTCAACCAAAGTTGTGATTAATGCGTGATCTACTTTCATATGTCTGAGGTTTGCAACCCTAGAAAAACCAACTTGCTCTAGTATAGGAACAATTAAAGGGTGGGGTTCTGGCATTGAATGATAGTAAGAACAAATAATATTCTCAGTCTCCTGCAATAATTAACAAAATTAGTACTAATTTGTTACAAGTTCATTGAAATTTAAAGTAAATAACGAAAGTGCTAAACTTACCGTTCTACCAATGAAGGCATACTTATGCTCATTTTGCTTCCACAATAACATTTTTGATATTTGGTTAATGAAAATTAAACCAAAAAAAAGAATTTCTTACTATGAAGGTGATTCAGAGGCAGTACAGGGAAGGAATAAAGGAGTGAAACTGAGCTAAAACCGTGTCGAAAGAATGAAGGGTACGGGGCCTATTTATAGGAAAAGCAGCGTATTCACTGTTTTCCCAGAACGGGCCGTTCCAAAACCAGAACGGCCCGTTCCAAACCACGTTTTAATTCCTAAAAACATCTTCTGGAACGGGTCGTTCCAAATTCGAAAAAATGTTTAAATTTCTATTCTGGAATGGGCCGTTCTAAAACAAGAATGGCTCGTTCCAGCTTAAAGAAAATAACTAAAATCATTCTTTCAAATGGGCCGTTTTAGGGGTCAATTTATGCGTTAAAACTTAATTATGGAATGGCCTCTTCTTAGCCCGTTTTAATTTCAAAAAAAAGACTCTGTGTGTTTAAGCAGAATGACCCGTTCTACTTTTGAAACGGGCCGTTCCACTTCCTACATTTGCCCAGAATGGGCCACAAACACGGAAATTTTTTTTTTAAACAACTCAGAATTCGGTTCCCCGGGAACCGAATTCTGATAACAAAAAAAAATATTGAGGTCTCAAGATCAAAGTCAGACATTTTTTTGTCTCAATGAAAGTACGTATTGGATTTGTTAAAAGAATTTGTGATGATAACATGTAAACCAACAAAATCTCCAATTGAAGGGGGATTGAAGTTGTGTGTTGAAGAAGAGCGAACTCCAACTAACAAGGGAAGATGTTAGAGACTTGTAGGAAGATTAATGTATCCCACACGCACTAGACCAAATTTAGCTTATGCTCTTAGTATGGTTAGTCAGTTCATGCACAATCTAGGTGAAAAACACATGGATGTTGTCATACGATTCTTAAGATACATAAATGTTGTTCCTAGAAAAGGAATTATGTTCAAGAAGAACTCCAACTGCTAAGACGTGATAGTTTATACTTATGCAAATTGGGCAGGTGTTCTTAATGATAGAAGATCAACCTTTGGATACTTCACATTTGTAGGAGGTAACCTTGTCACATGGAGAAGCAAGAAGTAGAGTGTTGTAATTAAATCCAGTGCAAAAGTTGAACTCAAAGGAGTGGTTATTGGACTCTATGAAGGTTTATGGCTCATACTACTTCAAGATTTAGGGTATGTACATACATGTCCCATTGTATTGTGATAATAAAGTTGCGTCTGACATTGCCCACAACCTTGTCCAACATGATCATATGATGCATGTGGAGGTCGATAGATTTTTTATCAAAGAAAAGCTTGATGAGAATATTTTAGAATTGCTTAATACTCGAACTGAAGATTAGTCAGCAGATATTCTTTCCAAAGTTGTGACAAGTTAGATTTTTGGGAGATTGTTAGACAAGTTGAAAACGTATGACATTTATCATTTACCAACTTGAGGGAAAGTGTTGAGATGAAGATATCTGATTAGTTAAATTATAGGTTTGCATATTTGTATAAAATATTATATAATTAGGACTTCCTTAATTTTGGCTGTGATTAATAAACTCCCTTATTTCGCCCCTGATTTGTAGAAGTAAAATATTATAAAAATAGAGTATGTTGTATATTGAAAGCACGAATAAAAATCAATATTAAATTTATTTTGTTTTTCAATTATTGTACATAATGTTCTAGTGTGTCCATACAACCTAAACTTTTAAAATTAAATGAAATCCTTCATACTCCACTCTAAACCAATGGTCCCTAAACCATACACAGTCCACTGCTGGTTGTTTTAAGTTTATCTCCACACATATGCGAATCATCCTCGCATCCATCATTCAAATATCTATTCGAATTGGTTTTCCAATTGTTGCAACCAATGCAAGTAAAATACTTTCATCATAGTATTTCATACACACAATTGTTGAATTAAAGATTTTGAATGTATAAATCAATTCTATAATTTTTTTTAAAATTTGAAAAATCATATGATATTTTATTATACAAATACAAATCAACATATAAAATATTTTTATAATTATTTATTAATTTAAATAAATAAAATAAAATATTAAATAATTATATCTTAAAAATAATAATTATATTAACGTATTAAATATTTTTATCACGTCAATTTATTCAACTTAAATTAAAAAAAAATCTCCTAAGAATAATATTCCTAAGAATGAAACGCCACACATACGAACACGCAAATTTCTTTTGGTATTTAATAATAAGAAAAAACGTATACATAACCTTATGTTGCAAAGCAAAAGGAAAAAAAAAAAATTAAAACTCCCAAATTACATCTACAAATTAAATAGTTCATTATATATCTGAAAATGACAACCATCTATCAATCATTTCATATACCTCCTTAGGCTTAGTCTCTTGCGCCACATGACCCGCTCCCTGCAAAAGGTACATAAGTTTAAATTTAATAAAATTATAAATGCAAAAATATTTCTTTATAAAGGAAAAGTATATAGAGTCAATTTAAATATTTTGTTTTTTTTAATGATTAGGCACCTTATCTATATTAAATTCTAGTTATTATTACAATAAGTCATTCCGTTAACTAGTTATTTACTCGTTGGTGATATTAATCCTATGTAGTTTGAATAATATGCTAGTTAATATATGGTGAAAAAAATGTTAAACTTACATAATGCATAAACAAAATTACGACTTTGCGATGAGATTTGAAGTAAAAATAAATAAATGAAAACATAGACTTGATTTTCATTATTATTATTGTAATATTTTTTATTAGTTAAAAAAGTATAACACACATAAACATGTTAAAATCTCTGAATAATATTTTGGAAGAATACCGCAACACATGGGGCCAAAAGTTACTTCTGGTAGTGATTATTGTGCCTTTTAGGAATAATATAAATAATTATTAAAAAATTTACTGATAATTAAATTATGATTGTCATTTTTTGAGTCAATAAAAATATTAATAAAAATTATTGCAAATGTTGGTTAAAATTCATATTATTGTTTCAAAAACCAAGTATTTTTAGATTTTGTCTATTATAAATCAACCTTTTATAAGCTAATGTTCAGTTGTCACAAAAGTTATAGTCTAAGATGTGTCTTATTGGTCATTAACTCATTGCCACTATATATTCCTAAATTCATATTTGTGGTAGTCGTGAGAGACGTGTGTGGTAAGGTTATCACTCTTAGAGTTCACTAGATTTAAAATGTTGTTACACTTCTTTAGAAATTATTAGTATATAAATTTTTTATATTTCTAAAATTTAATTTCTATAAATAGGGATTCAATGACGTATACAAAGTCATTATTATTAAATTATGAAAATTGACAAAATTTTGAGGGATGTGTGCTTAGAGAAATTAATTGTGGACTCAAGACAAAAGGCACACTTTTTTTTCATTGTTGAAGCGAATCAATATCCAACGAATGAGTTTGATAGAAATTAGACTCGAGACAAAGAATGTTTTATCTGCATGCACAACATTTTATATTTATCTTTGTTGTTATCTTTATAATGCATATTGATTAAAAAAAATAGGGGGGAAAAATAGCACTGCACACAAGTATTATCTAAGCTAATTTCAAATGCCTTATTTGGAAGCAATATGTGAAAAGAATTTATGTTAGCAAGCAGGTGCAACTACATGTGTCAAGAGATTTGTTAATATTTATATTCAATAACAACTCAAAAAAGTATAATTAAGAAGGGATGTGAAAGGATGATTGTCGTGAGTCTTAAAGACTTGTATTCAGGAATAATTAAGAGTGCATGACATATTTTGTTAGTGATGATAGTATATCTATGAGTGTTCACAAGTATTAATTAACTTATAAATATGATTTTTCCTATAAAAAATTATTCTTTAAATCCGTGAATATATATATATATATATATATAAAATGAAGACATTAGTTTTTAGTAGGAATACATACGTGTACACACACACATATATATATATATATATATATAAGTAAACTTTCACAATGTTATAGCTAGTAAAAATAACAAAGATTAATGTAAGTGGTTAATTTTTTTCTACAAGTTGTTTTACCTTCTATATTAGTCACAAGGTAATTACATCAAAATTGTAACATACCTCTATATATAAAGCCTCTTGCGTCTTTTCTTTTTTCACATCAAGAATATGAGGTTATTTAGTATTAGAGTATAGCATTTTACTCTGTTGTATCTTTTCTATTTTTACCTATATATGTATGGATTGTTGTATTGCAAGTAAACTATTCAGTTAGTTAATTAACTTCTCTTGTAAGCCTTTGTTACGTTGTTTGTTGTTAGTTAATTAGTTAGCTTCCTTTGTAAGTTTGTCATGGATATTTCTGCATCTATATAAGGATGCATCTCTCTCTTGTATATATCATTAGTGAAAATTCATTTTCACCAGATTAATAATACAGATTTAGTTTTCTCATATTTAGTGTTGTATTTTCTTTATTTTCCTCTTAATATGGTATCATATTTAGCCTTCTTGTAGCTTCCGCATCTTCTTTCTTCTTTGTCATGACTAAAGAGTTTCAAGATCCATGCCAAAACAAGTAATATTTATTATCTTCACCCAAAGAAAATCTAGGATGTGTTCTTGCTGCTCCACCTCTCAATGACACTAATTATTACAATTGGAGCAAATCTATGAAGCAAGCTTTCTCTTCCAAAAAAAAACTCAAGTTCATTAATGGAAGTCTACCAGATTCGGCAAAAGCATATTCTCACTATGAATCATGGGAGTGATGCAATAATATGGTAGTTTATTGGGTTACTAGAACTCTCCATATATTTCTCAAAGCACCATTTGTATAGATAGTGCCTAAGAACTTTGGTTGAATCTTCAAGAAAGGTTCACCAAAGAAAACATTTTTGAATCTCTAACCTTTTTTAAGACCTTCACTATATTAGACAAGGTGATAGATCTTTATCTGCCTATTTTATTGATATGAAATTTTTTTGGTTGAATTAGGGCATGTTCAGCCTAAACACACTTGTTGTTGCCAAGTTTCTTGCACTTGTCAACTCAGCAAATCTGTCAAGTTCTACAAAGATTGACTATGTGATTTTATTTCTCAAAGGATTTAATGACCCCTACAATAATGTGTTAAGATGGATCCTCCTTATGGACTTGTTACCATCCATCAACAAAGCCTTTTATTTGGCCATTGAACAAGAAACTCAACCACTACAAAACTCTTCTAACATCACTGTATTTGCTATAATATAATTCCTCCCAACAAAGAGGTCATAGTAGAACCAATCCAAAGCAAGCAAGGTTATGTAGTTATTGTTTTTCTACAAATCACACCATCGAGATATGCTACCTCAAACATGCACTACAAGAAAAATGCTGATTTTTGACAGAAATTTTTGATGGAAATAAGTAAATTTCCGATGGATTTTTCTTTTTTCTGACGGATTTCAATTCGTCGGAAAAAGTGGCGTCGGAAAAAAAAATCCGTCGAAAAAATCCGTCAGAAAAATTTGTCAGAAATTTTCGACGGAAAAATCCGTCGAAATTGCTTCAAAATTTCCGATGAAAAAATCCGTAAAAATTATAATTTTTTTTAATTTTAATAAATTTATTACTAAAATTTTATTTTATTTTTGTTTTAGAGTCAGCCTAATAAGGGCTTGGCTGATGCTATGAGTAGTTTATTTTTTAATTTTAGAGTCAGCCTAATAAGGGCTTGGCCGACGCTATACCAATTTTTTTTTTTAATTTAATGTTAACCTTTGTTGTGTTTGGCTGATCATTCTTTAGTATCAGCCAATGCACATCAACAACCCGTGAGCATCACAGTGCAACTATTTTCTGTGTTGGAATACAGTGAGGTACAAATACAAAATAAGGAATTACACCAGCATGATTCAAACCTATCACATCTATTAATCTGTACGTAAGCTAATTCTTTTCCATCTTAGAACATTATTTTTAAGATCGTTATAGTATATGAATGCAAGTTTTGAAGAATTATTCTCACTTCAATTGAGATATAATTATATTTTAGTGCATGTACATATGGGATGTTGTAGTTTAAGCGCGTAGCATTCTAAACATTACTATTATCTACATGAAATTAAAGTACCAAAACTAATCAACTTTTGATTTCTCAAATTAAGTACCAAAACTAATCAACTTCTGATTTCTCAAATTAAGTACCAAAACTAATCAACTTCTGATTTCTCTTCCAGGATATTATCTTCAGTTGTTTTTCCTTGCAGTAGAAGAACCAAGTTTTGGTTTGGTAGCATTAACAGTAGTCCCAAGACCTACAATCATAAATGAAAAATACGAGTTTGCAGTTTTTACTACCATTATCATTACATAAATATTTCAGGACAGGGATGACAAGATCAAATAATAACTATAAGATGTTATGTATGGTTATGCGACTAAATTTTACTATTTTTTATATATTAATAACTATATATAAGGCATATAGGATGAAGTATTAATTTGTACGAGAGAATGAAAGAGTTAGAAAAGAAGAATGACAAACAAATGTTTAATGTTATCTTCTAATGAATTTGATACGCAACATTGTATTAAAAACCAATCTTGTACGCAAGTGAATCAGCTAACTCATAATTGAAGGACTACAGATTTCAGGTATACTAGCTAGGCAAAACTTCTGGAAAAAAAAAAAAGAGTTTTATTTGCATTGCATTGGTTATGATGAGAAGCAAAAAATGAAAGCTAATAAAATTAGGAGCAATAGCCAATAGAGTCATCTAACAAAGCAATACCAAAATTATTCATGCTATCTAACCTTTCCATATATGAATATATAAAATGGCAAAGGCGCCTCTAAAACCTCTAAGCTAATTATTTAAGATAAATTCATATAAGAAAAGGATAACTTAATTTAGCAAAACTAAACTTTCAAAATAATAACAAGAGAATCGCCAACCCCTGAAATGTTCAGTATGGTCTATTCTATTATATCTCCTATTATAGAGAACAACTTTGGAACTCCAGTAGTTTACCAGGAACACGACTTCATCATTTTTAGACATGCAAACAAGCAAAGGCATCACTATTGTATGAGGTGGAAAGTGATGAATTAAAAGATGCTCATAACTCACCTTCAACAACTGAGTCCAAGATTTTCCAATGGAAACTAAATCAAACCCAATAATTATTCATGCAGTATAAATCATTGCCTCTTCAACAGCCTACAATTTAGATCAAACATCATGATACGAGCAAGAGTTAACATTGGCCATTTATCAGTTGTATAAAAATTACAATGGTCACTCTCACACACAAACAAACAAAGGCATAAGGATCACATACAAGAAGGCCAACAGCTCCAAGTCCAAAGATGGCAGCAGAAGAACCAAGTTGACAACCTACTCACACTACAAGAATGTGGGTTATTAGTGTCGGCTTTTAACCGATTCTAACTTAAAAAAGCTGACTCTATCGTGTAATTAGCGTTGGCTCTGCGTCAACATAATGGCCTTCACTAAATTTGTTGACACTAAATATATTGTGTCAGCCTGACAAACGGACACCTCATAGAGACGGCTAAACCGACTCTTAGTTATCGTTAAAATATGTCGTGTTGCTTTTAAACATTAAATAAATTTTGTTTAGCGTTAGCCATAGAGACAATAAATTACAATATTTTTAAAAATTAAAATTAGTTAGTGTCGGCATTATCGACAGTAAATAATATTTTTTTTAAAAATGTATATTTTTAGTGTTAACAAAGCGGACTCTAACATAATTTTTTATTTATTATTATTATTTTATTGTCCGCTAAGTTGACACTTAAAGTCAGTTATGTTAGTTGGTTAAATTCGTAGAATAAGGTTTTTGTGGGCTTAACCGACACTAAAATTTTATTTTATTTTTGTTTTAGAGTCAGCCTAATAAGGGCTTGGCTGATGCTATGAGTAGTTTATTTTTTAATTTTAGAGTCAGCCTAATAAGGGCTTGGCCGACGCTATACCAATTTTTTTTTTTAATTTAATGTTAACCTTTGTTGTGTTTGGCTGATCATTCTTTAGTATCAAAATTTCCGACGAAAAATTCCGTCGGAAATTTCTGACGAAAATATAAATCCGTCGAAAATTTCTAACAGATTCATATCCGTTAGAAATTTTCCGTAAAAAATTTACATTTTTCTTATAGTGATGACTTCCGCATGGCTTTAGAACCAAGACTCAAAGCACCACCTTACAAATTTCAATTGATTCCAATACCAATACCAATAATAGACTCCACAACAAAAACAACCAACTACTTATAACACAAATGAGCAACCTTTTCAGCTATATCGAGATGACTATCAATACTTGATTTCCTTCCTTCATTCTTCTAAGAAAAACTTTTTAACTTCTGTGAATGTAATGAGTAAGCAAAGCAATTCTAATTCTAATGCTCATTTGGTTTCAAGTGTAATGGAATCAGACAATTCTTGGCCTCCTAGTTCTATTTGTATCACAGACTTGGAGCTTCTAACCTTGTTTGCCCTTCCATTAATTATTTCTCCTCTTTTTTAAAATCACTCTTATTTTTGTCAAATGACCCAATGGTTCACTGCCTATGCGTATCACTTTGGAACAAAACATTTTTCATTTGATTTTTATCTTAAAGATGTTTTGCACATACCAAAATTTCATTTCAGTTTAATTTTTGTTAACAAATTGACTAATTAATTCTCTTATAAGTTGATTTTCTGACCAAATTCTTATGTTATAGATGGGTTGCATACCCTGAAGATGATTGGGCATGCTGAGATTAATAACAACCTCTACATTCTTAATAAAACTTCTAATTCCTTCTTTTGTATGCTAATAATGTTTTATAGTGCGTAAATTCTACCAATAATAACGATGATTTATCCCATAGTATTTTTTATTTGTGATACTATAGTTAGGCCACCCTTCTCATAATGTTTTGTAGGAACTTTGTTCTAGTTTCCCATGTATTCTCTTTGATAAAAGAACTTGAGTGTGATTGTTGCCACATGGATAAACAATGAAAATTACCTTTTCCCTAAAGCACCACTCACACATATTACCCACATGATCTTTTAGATATGGATATATAGAGCCCTCTAAACATTTGAGCCTATTCAAGGACGCCATTATAGAATTGGCACTTACACCAATTTGATGTCTAGAATGTCCTCCTTCATGGCAACTTAGATGAAGAAGTTTATATGTAGCTACCACCAGAAATCACTCCCACCAAGCCTCACCAAGTTTGTAGATTGCTCAAGTCAATTTATGGGTTAAAATAGTCTAGTAGACAATGGTTTGTTAAACTATCTCCTACTGTCACTTCCAAAGGATATTGTCAATCTCCCAATCATTCATGGACATTGTTTTCAAAATTAGGTTATTTAAAGTTTTTTCTTGGCCTTGAAATTGCACGAAATAAGGTAAACATACACATTTTCCATTTCCGTAGAAAATATGCTTTAGACAACTTGGTTGAATATGGATTGTTAGTTGTAAAACATATTTCTACACTAATTATCAAAGGAACAAAATTAATCAAGAAGGAACAACTCTTGATGTTCTAGCAACATTATAGAAGATTAACCGGCAAACTTGTATATTTAACCACCACAAGACCTGATAATAGTTTTGTGATTCAACAACTAAGTCATTTTATGACTACACTTACATATCTTCTCATCATGAGGCATGTATATAAGTCTTTTTGTATATTTTCTTTTTCAGATCAATAATATGAGGTCATATTCAGTGTTATATTTTTTCCCCCTCATAAGTCGTAATAGATTCCTTTCTCAAATTTCAATTTTTATGCATATTTTGTATAGAAAATGATATGAATTTCTCCTACATTTTGGCTCGACTCTCAACAAAAACACAAAGAAATTTCATCTAACAAACTCGTAATAATAATATTCAATTTATGAGTACCTACCTTCACAATGGCGTACGTTAGACAATACTCACTTTTCTTGTGTTCCTCTGCATATCTGTGTATAAATTTGTTAAATTAATAATTTGATTAAATTTTTTAAGTAAAAGTATTCAATATTCATGAAACTAACCCTGCCACTTCACCATCAACGAACCATGGATGCCAAGCCATATCCAATTTCAATTTGAGCGACTTGACAATAGAAAGTGAACTAAGATATGGTAACGCTAGGTCAAGATCGGCGCTGTAAAAATGAATTTAATAAGAATGTATCAATAATATATACAGTCATTTATTTCATATTTTCTATTACGTATCATAAGTTTGTTAATTTTTATAATATAATTACTTTAAAAGCTGTATCTAAGATGAATTTTGATTAAGAGTTTATTTGGATAAATTTGTCTTAACATACTTATGAGAAGAAAAATAGAAATAAATTTTTTTAATAGTTAAAAATAACTTAAGCATAAATTAATTTAATAGAAATTCTCTTATATTAGTTTCTTTAATATTTTTTTATTTATATATAATTTAATTTTAATTTATATATGAAAAAACTTTTTTTTTATTGTTTTATTCCTTTAAGTGACTAATAAAAAAAATTATCCAAACCAACTCTAACTAACGGTCTAAAAATATTTATAGTAACATTGCATAAAATTATAGTCTTATAAGTTTAAATTTTAATTTTCATACATTAGTGTGAATAATTTATTTTTCTTGTTGAGAAATTCTAAAAACATACTTATGTCATACTATTTTGAACACATTTCTTTCTATTTGTTAAAATTTATTAAAAATTACAAAATTTTGTTAAACTCGTATTCTAAATAATGATTTTTCCTAATATCATAATTTGTCATGGGCAATGAAATTCATTCCCATATATTATTTAAAGATATTATCTTCTAAATTAACGGAATATTTTTTTTGCTTAACTTTACCGAAGTTCTTTTAACTTGTAAGTATGCTCACGTACGTAAGATTGCAACTATTAAAGGGAAAATTTAAAGAACTTACCAGTAAATTAGAGATCGCAAGTTTGTGTTTGTAAGATTTTGAAGGTATTCAACGACACTAGGAACGTTCAATGTAAATGCAGAACTGTGATTGCATCTTCGGAACTCCTCTTTAGTTCCCTGTGTTGACATTACATTTGTTTGAATTAATGATTATTGTGCTAATTAATTTTGATATGCAATTTTTATTTTGTTCATATCTAATTATTAAAGGAATGTTTATTACTGTTTACCTCTCTAACTCGAAGAGCCTTTAGAACATGTGGGTCATTTGCCCATAATTCTCCAACCGCGTATTCGTCATCCTAGATCAATATATTAATCGTAAAAATCATGAACTTATGAATTATTATAATATAAATTTAATTCATCTAATTATCAAATTATATAATATTATACTCAATATCGTGCATATTTAATTTCACATAATTATAAAATTATTCAATAATTTATCACATTATTTTATTTTTTAAGTATAATATGTATTTTTAAAATTTATGTAAATATTCATTTTTAGATATCAAATTTAGAAGAGTTTAAATAATGTGAAATTTGATATACACAATTTTAAATATAATATTATATAATTCAACAGTTTAATTGGTTAAATTTAATTATATTATATAAAAAATTATTGAATTAATATTTGGTATAAGTTTTTAGATTTTCAGTTGATATCAATAGATCCAGACTTATGTGATATATATATATATATATATATATACTTACTACCTGCACATACATACATACAGAAAAAGTAAATTATATTGTTGTAACTTTTATAATTATTATATTGTCTAATAACTTTATATTATAAGTGAATTTCGTCAATTCTATTTGTTAAATTATAACTTTATATTACCTTGAATGTAAATGTCAATTTATTTTTAAATTGAACAATAATAAGATGATAATTAAATTATTCATATTTTATTATATTTTGAAATGTATATATTAATTTAATTTTAATTTATATGAATGGGGTATCAAATTATTTTATATTAATATAAAATTTTGTATATATAATATAGGATAAAGAAACATCCAATTTAATGGTGGATTTTGAAAATAATTTTTCAACTCATTTCTTATTATGAGAGATGATAGAACTTAATAATAGCCTTTAAATTATAGATAAAAAAATAATTAATGATTGAGATTGAAACTTAATTATAAACATTTATCCATAAAATCATTGTTATTGTCACCTCCACGAATATCACCATCAACACCACTCATTGACATTACCAACATCACCACTATCATCATTGTTACTATTAGCACCATCATATGGAAGTGACGATGGTAATGGTGACAACAGCGATAATATTAATAATAATGACAATAGAAGTGATGACACTAATGGGGTATCAAATTATTTTATATTAATATAAAACTTTGTATATATAATATAGGATAAAGAAACATCCAATTTAATGGTAGATTTTAAAAATAATCATTCAAACTGAAAGTTAACTATGAGAGCATTTCTTATTATGGGAGATGACAAAACTTAATAATAACCTTTAAATTATAGATAAAAATAATTAATAATTAAAATTGAAACTTAATTATAAACATTCATCCATAAAATCATTATTGGTGTTGCCTCCACGGATATCATCATCAATACCATTCATTGACAATACCAACATCAATACACTACATCAAAATTAGTTTTTTGTGGCAATAATTAATTTATTATTTAGCGGTCTTATAAATGGCCATTATTTTTTTTACCAGCATTTAAATAATGACTGGTGTATCTAGTGTCGCTAATACTATTACCGACATTTATATAAAATACCGGTAAAGATCTACTAAATTGTCGAAAAAACTTATTTTTTATAGTGACAATTCTATTAGCCATTTTAAAGGCTATTAAAAGTTATTTTTTTCAATTGTCTCATTTACTTTAAATAATTTATTCTTATAATTTCCTTTTATAAATTCATAACTTATATACTTTTTTATCTCTACTCGATGTGGGATTTGTAAGATGAGAGTTGTCTTTTATTTATATATTTTTTAATTGTCTTGTCTTTTAAGAGATGTGAGATTTATAAGGTGAAAGTTGTACTCTAATTGTTTTATAGCACTATTGAACTTGGTAACAATGGGTGATTTGATACCAATTTAGAATAGTGAATTAGGAGTCAATCCTATAAAATGAACCTGTAAGGTGATAGTTATTACTCACTTATATATTATTTAATTATCTTATCTTTAATCGATGTGGGACTTAAGTTTTTTCTAATAAATAATTGTCACTAATAGTAAACTTTAGTATAATATAAATATATTTTTAGTGGCTATTATATATTAGTCATTAATATTTTTATATATGGCGACAATTAAATTATTACCATTAAATAATTGTCATTAATAACAAATTTTGTTGTAGTGTTATTATCATCATTATTACAGTTATCACTAACATATGGAAGTGATGATAATAATGGTAACATCAACAACAATATTGATAATAATGATAGTATAAGTGATAGTAGTAATGATAGTGGTAATAGACATAAAGACGATGATAATAATGATCTTATAAATGAGTGTCTATATATAATTAAATTTTAATCTTAATCATTCATTATTTTTATCTATAATTTAAAAAATTATTATTTAATTTTTTGATCTTTGATAATAAATTTTGTTCTCATTAGATATGGTTACACACAGACACTATATATATATATATAAATAAGGAGAAATTCTTTTATTCCAGGAATAAAACTATCTAGAGTTACTCCGTTCAATAACTCATGTTCAACATTAAATTTTAACGATCCAACCGTTCAATTTAAAGTTTTTAATGCATAGATCAAATCTGTAAATTTTTAGAAAATTTGAAAATTATTTGATACTTCGTTTCATTAATTCAAATTGACGGATAATCATAAAATCACTTTATACATTGATTTGAATTAATGAAACGAAGTATCAAATGATCATCAAATTTTCTAAAAATTTACAGATTTGATATATGCATTAAGAACTTTAAATTGAATGGTTGGATCATTAAAATTTGATGTAGAACATGAGTTATTGAATGAAGTAACTCTAGGTAATTTTATTCCTAGAGTAAAAGGATCTCTCCTCTCTCTATATATATAGAGAGAAAGGGAGTGAGTGAGTGAGTGGGAATGAGTATGCATACCCGACACCTAAATTTGGTTTGGCGGATATTTTTAAACTCTTCGGAAAGAATTCTTTGATTCTCCTTAGATGCAAGCTTGCAACTTCGTCGCAAAATTTGGTATTCATCTATGTAACGAATTAACTACAGCAAATATTATAGCGTTAGAAAAATATATTTGAAATTATAAACTAACTTGTAGTGAAAAATGTAGATGTTTTCCCACCTCATAGTAGGCTTCATAATCTGACATACAATTTTTGTTGTTAGGATCAAGATTGACATAATCACCATTGCAATTAGATTTAATTGACTGAAAAGCAAAATGGCACCAAATTTAAGTTAAGCAATTTCTAAGAATACCAATAACTAATATATATATATATATATATA